CACACACACACACACACACACACACACACACACACACTTACACACACACACAGGAGGTGATACAGAAACATGGGGGAAAAAACACAAAATTCACAGACAGTTCTTATCAGACAGGCCCCCTTCAAGGTCACCGGATCCTCACCTCTATCATCAAGGTCACCTCTACCCTCAAGGTCACCCGCCCTTCACCTCTACCCTCAAAGTCACCTCTACCTTCAAGGTCACCGGCCCCTCATCTCTACTCTCAAGGTCACTGGCCGCTCATCTCTACTTTCAAGGTCACCGGCCCCTCACCTCTACCCTCAAGGTCACCGGCGCCTCACCTCCAGCTTAAACTTTTCCTCTACTTCTTTTGTATGTTTGTCACTCTCTTGTGACCCGCTATTTCCTGGGCCCTTCACCTTTACCCTCAAGGTCACCAGCGCCTCACCTCCAGCTTAAACTTTTCCTCCATCTCGCACCACGTGGCCTCCTTGACGCTGAGGTCGGCCAGCAGGGAGTCCACGCGCTCTCGCAGCTCTCGGTTCTGGGCCATCAGCGCGGCGTTGTCGTTCTCCAGCTCTTCATTCCGCTGTCGTAGGAAGGTCAGCTCCTTCCAATGGCCGCAGTCTTTGTCGTCCTGGGAGGGAGAGGAAATAGGTGAGGCAACATGGTGGAATCAGGCTCTCGTCAAAATAATCAAAGTGAAGAAACTAGCATTTGTCAACAGGTTTGTGAATTTTTATCAAATTTTTGTTTTTTGGCTCAATCACCTTTCATGCAAATTAAAAAACTCATTTCTGTGTGGATTTTTCTGAAAAACGTTGATTAAAGGCACAAAAAAATGTAAATTTTCAGTTACCACGGACTCTTAAGATAAGGAAATAACTAATCTTTGGCAGCCATTTTCTCACTGACTAATTTTACCTCTGAAAACAGGTGACCCCCACCTCCTTCATTCGCAAATATCTCGACCTGTATTCACGATAAATGGATATTTTTTTCTTCCAAATAAAGACAAGTGAACAAGCTTTAAGATGATACCAATAACTCTAAATGTCCAAAAATTGACCAGAGCCTGATTCCACCACGCTGCCTCAAGTATGTCAAGACTGGGAAGGAGAGAAAATAGGTCAAGGCTGGGGGAAAAGAGGAAGTAGGTCAAGGATGAGAGGGAGAGGAAGTAGGTCAAGGCTGGGGGGGGGGGGGGGGGGGGAAAAT